GCTGTGCATCCAGCTTCCAGACTTGTCTGATTTGTTCCTAGCTTGTATTTAGGGCATTAGGACCATCTGATTTCCTTGAAAATTCTGTAGGTGAATGTTTTTTAAGTCGAGGGGTAGCATAAAGTGCAGTGACCTTAGGTGCGTCAGTGGCTTTGTGCTTACGATTGCATTTGTGTGTAACTTAGGGCAAGACAGAAGACATTTCTAGTCGCTCATTCTCAGTCTCTAACCCCTCCTCCTTTCTAAAGGTGACTTTTAAAAAAATTGTGGTGAAATACATATGGATTACCTATTTTTAAGCATGGAGTTCAGTGGCATTAGGTACTTTCTTTAAAGGTACTCTTTACATTTAAATGGTATTGGTAATACTTTCTTGGCCAAGGCCCAACGACTGGATGACATAGAAACAACTAGAAGAGAAAGTGAAAGTTCCCCCAGCCTCACTGTCTTCAGAAGGGACCACTGTTCAGAGCGTGTCACCTTCCAGATCTTGCTGTGTGCACTACCTACCATGCACAGATCTCTCCACACCGGAAAACACGATACAGATGGACATGTTTGAATTGATAGTTTTGGTTTTTTAATTGTAAATGGAATCCTGGATGGGCTGCTGGATTGCAGCTTGCTTTTTCATGTGCCATCTGCATGTGGCCTTTCTAGGGGGCTGCCCCCGGCCTGACGGAGGGCGTTCTGTTTGACACCTGGGGCATTGGTGGTGCTGCTGCTTCTCCTGGGTCCAGCACCTGGGCCTTAGGTATTTGTATCCTCCTTCCTGACCCCTGGCTCAGACCCCTCTCCCTGTCCATGCAGAGCCAGCTCTCAAATTCCGCAGCCCCAAAAGGCCTTTTAGTTACTGCCGACCCCTGGGGAGTCAGCTTCTGGAGTATTTACCTTTTATTTTGGGGGGCTCGATCCCAGGACCCTGGGATCATGACCCGAGCCGAAGGCAGACGCTTAATGACTGAGCCAGCCACCAGGTGCCCCTGGAGTATTTACCTTTTAAACAAGGATGGAAGCCTTAGGGTGGAGGAGTAGAGACTAGATAAGGTGTTGTTAACCAGCAGGCAGAAGCAGACACTTTAGGGAGCAGTTTGGCCCTTGGGCCACCCCTAAAATCACACTGTTGGCCTGCTGCTGGCTCTGACCCCAGAAGCCAGCCTAAATGGCCAGCCCCAGAGTCCAGGGCCGCTCCCCCTACATCCCTTGGTTGGGTAACTGGCAGAATCTCTCCTGGCAGCAAGGAAGGCCCCGTATCTCCACGCTCCTCTTGCAGCTCAAGCTCTAGGTCCCTGGGAGATGAACCCTTGGCAAAACCTGAACTTGCAGCATTTGGGAACCATAGACCTGATTTAGTCTGGGACATGAATGGTGGGCTCACTTCATGAGAAGATAAACCCAAAGGCCTCCTGATTTTTGACTCTGGAGTGAGCTTTTCCCCTTTTGGTTAGTTTCACCGTGCTTGCTCTTGCCTTGTGCTAAAGTTAATCTCCTGAGGCTGTCGGGCTCCTGTTTTCTTCCGTCCCTCATTTTGCTTCTTTGTTGTTCTCTGTATGGGTACAGGCAGCCATGAATTCACTCAGCAGCAGCCCACTGAGGCCCTGCCCTGCGTTTTGTGTTGAGAGAATTGGAGGGGGCGGGTGTAAGGTGGATGGGACCTTCTCTTGGGGGCTTTCCATCTGGAACACCTGGGATTGTCCACTGTCACACAGAGATTCCTGGGAGGCTGGCAGCCAGGAGGCTCTTGACGGGAGCAGCAGGAACAATCATGAATCTCTGTCCACGTATCCCAGCCAGGCCCTGTCAGCTTCTCCATGGTAACTGCGGGGTATTGATACTATTAGCCTTAAGAAAAGCACAACCAGCCTTTTGAATATAAAAGAGGGGAAAAAAAGGAAAAATACAGTCCAAAATTCTAATGCTAAATGATTCCTGATGATTTTTTTTTAAAAAGTTAACGTGTGTACAGGATGAGACATTTCAAACCAAACAGGAAGGTCTAGAAATGAAAAAATGCAAGCATGCTTGTGTGCATGTGCACACACAGAACCACCTGTCTTCTTTATCCCCCAGAGATGAAATCCTGAGATATTCGTAGGCCACTTTCCAGGAAAAGCAGCTCATAGCATCACGTGTGGCCTTTGAAAAGCTTTACCTGCAGGGGCCCCTACTGAGCTCCCCGCTCTTGCTTTTCCACCCAGGTACCCGTTCTGAATCCGCGCACGTAGGTACAAAAAGACCTGGGTCTCTTTAACATGTATGTGGATTCCCATTCTGTGGACAGACCGTAATAACCTAACCACTCCCGTCTTGATGGACATTTAGGTTATTTCCAGCTGTTCACTGGGTAGGTTGCATTTTAAAGATTTGAAATTTCCCCAGTAAACATGTCCTCCCAACACCTGACCATTGAGAAAAGCAGATCCCTTTGGAAAGTTTTTAAATTTATTTTCACAGTTGATTCTTATCTTTTTTTTTTTTTTTTTTTTAAGGTGGCAGGGAGAGGAAGGTGACTCTCCTATGCTGGATGCTTACTGAAAGAACTTTTACATCCGTGCTTACGTGTAGTTCTAGGAGGCCAGAAGTATCTGCCCTGTGTTTTAGACAAGGACTCCGATGCTCAGAGAGGACCCATAGCTCATGGCAGGGTTCAGCTGGGGATCGGACTGCTCTGAGCAGCCCTGGGCCTCACACATTGTTTCGCTTCCCTTTGTTCTGCCACTTCTGTACATCCGAGTTCATAAAGAGCTAGAGGAGAGGTTTCTACACCCATCCACGTGAATTTTTGCTTAGACCTTCTAACCGGGTGATGTTTTGCTCTGCATTTAGTCTCGGTTTTCTGTTTCGGAAAGCTTTAATTGCATATGGCATACTCTAAGATTCACTGGGAGTATGTGGTGATCAGAGGAAGCAGTGACTTTATCTTGGGACCCTAATTTCCTGGGTTCGAGTCCTTCAGCAGAAGATGAGGGGGCTGTCCAGGGCTGTGTTCTATCACACAGCGTCCTAAGTGGGCTCCGATGGTTGCTGTCTCTCAAGTGGTGCATGCTCCGGGGGCTCCCATCTCTGGGCTCCCTGTTGTTGGCGTCTGTAATGCGCTATCTGGGTTTCCTGGGCAGTAGAATCCTATCTCAATTTATCTGTCATTTTTGTGGATGAATAATCCAAAGTGAGTAAATGAAAATTAACGTGTGGATTTGGATGCTAATTTAGCTTCCAATTAGGTTTTGTTTTGAGCGTTATTGAAATTAATCTGTGCTCCTTGGGCACATTCCACTTATTGGCAAGGTACGGTGGCCCCCAGAGTACAGTTGGTGGTTGGTTGGGGGTAAATTCAGAAGATGGATAAACCATATCAAGATAATGGAAACGTTTTCTTTAAAACTTTTTTCTTTTTTAATGACAAAATGATGTCTGGACATCATCCAGGTCCTGAAAAGAGAAAAATAATTCAGTCAGAATCCTGCCCCAAACAGACCAGTTTTCTTTTGTTTTTTTTTTTTTCCTTGCTAGACCCGGTCCATTTGCATGTAAACACTTTTTAAAGGGTACTGAGCCTGGAACTGAGTTTGAGCTCCTGATGAAGCACCCTTATTTCAGGAGGACCTTGAGCTTTGGGATTGGGCAGGCTTCAGTTCCAAGTCTGACTCTTGGCTCAGGAGCTGTGTGACATCAGGCACATCACTTTGTCCTTCGGAGCCTCTGTTTTCTTATCTATGAAATGGGAGTGGCAGTCTGTCTACCTCTTGTTTATTACCTGGACTGAGATACAACTGTGTGTTTCCCACAGGACGGGGCATGAGCCACTCGCAGCACACAGGCCTCTTTCATTTCTCTTAGAAAGCCTCCTGACTTCTCGGGGAAGAGCTTCTTTGTTTGGGGCCAGCTTCCTTTGGGGATGAGCTTTAACTTACTGCTGGTACTTGCCAAGCCCCCTTTCTAAAGAGCCAGCATTTGGCTACATCCAGTACACCTTGCTTTTTCTTTTCTGTTACTTTTAGAACAGCAGGATACACTGGTTTTTCATGCCCTGTAGCAGTATACAGCTACTTTTAAAGTAAATATATTTAAAGTAGAAGTTAGGGATGCCTGGGTAGCTCAGTCAATTAAGGGGCTGCCTTTGGCTCAGGTCATGGTTTTGGGGTCCTGGGATCCAGCCCTGCCTTGGGCTCCCTGCTCAGCGGGGAGCCTGCTTCTCCCTCTGCCCCACCCCCTGCTTGTGTGCTCACTCGCTCTCTCTCAAATAAATAAAATCTTTTTTTTTTAAAGATTTTATTTATTTATTTGACAGAGAGAGAGCACAATGGCAGGCAGAGGGAGAGGGAGAAACAGGCTCTCCGCTGAGCAGGGAGCTGGACGTGGGGCTCGATCCCAGGACCCTGGGATCATGACCTGAGCCAAAGGCAGCTGCTTAACCGACTGAGCCACCCAGGCGCCCCTCAAATAAATAAAATCTTTAAAAAGTCAATAACACCAGCATGCTGTACTTAAGACCTAAATTGGGCGGATGGTGTGGATTTGAATCCCAGCTCTGCTGCCCCCTGGCTCTTTGACCTTGGATGTGTCCTTTACCACCTCTGAGCCTCAGTCTTATCATCTGTAAAGGGAGGGAAACAACAGGACGACCTCATGGGGCTGTTGTCAAGTTCAAGTAGGCTAGTACAGTCAGAGCCCTTAGAGCGCATCTGGCACATGCAAAATACCCTAAGCATGTTAACCAGAAGTGCGTTTCCTAGACAAGTGAGGGGCCTTTTGGGAAGCACAGGGCTGGTGTTGGTAAAGTACAGAGTTTCCGACTTAGGGCGGTGGGCAATAAATGGTAGCTGGTGCTATTGTTTTGATGATTTAACAATGGTGGTGTTAGTGACAGTCCTGATGACAAAGTAGGAGGTAGCCTTTTTTTGTTTCGGAAATAGAATTTCTTGGGGCAGCAACTCTCAGGTGGCTTGACGATGGCGTCTGGCAAGATTCCAAGGTTCCAATCTGTGTGTTGACTTCCCTAGGCCAAGCCCAGCATTCGGTGCTTCATTAAGCCCACCGAGACGCTAGAGCGCTCCCTTGAGATGAACAAGCACAAGGGCAAGAGGCGGGTGCAGAAGAGACCCAACTACAAAAATGTTGGGGAGGAAGACGAGGAGGAGAAGGGGCCCGCTGAGGACGCCCAGGAAGACGCTGAGAAGACTAAAGGTACTGAGGGTGGTTCAAAAGGCATCAGGACGAGTGGGGAGAGTGAAGGTGAGTGCGCCCGTGAACGCCACCCTGCTGCCTGCGCCACGAGCCAGGCTGTCCCTTGTGTCTGGTCCCTGTTGTGTGTCCGTGGGTGCGTCTGTCCATTCCCGACGCCGGTGTACCTCACTCTGTGGGCCCAGCCCTTTGCAGGCAGCTGTGGGCAGGTCCACTGCAAGGCCTGCCCACATCGCAGGGGTGACCCGGAGCAGGCCTCTTTACTCGAAACCCCGTGCCTCGGTTTCCCCATCAGTAAACAGAGGCTAGCAGATGGTAGTTACTTTGTCATTACGAGAATGAAATGAGTTAGGACATGTCCCATGCTCGGAGCAGTGCCTGGCCTGTGTCATAAGCATCTGCTGCCGTTCCTGCCCTCACCATATTTATTGCAGGTCTGTTAGTCCCCGTCACCTGCGATGCTGATTTTTGACACGAGTCATTATTTCCAGTGCACTGCAGGGAGAAAACCCGCATTGAATGAGATTATATACCTTTAATACGATTATGTTTTAGATTCTTACATTAAGATTTGTCCGAAGTCCTTACAGTGAGGTACACCAGGGTTTGGTGCACACGTGCTCAAAAAGCAGAATCATTCATTCCTCTTTTTGGTTCGTGTTGGGGATGATTCTGGTTTAATTTCCACCTTCCTCTGGCTTAGATGCTAATACCTTCTCGATCTGGAGAGCAGTGTCTGCTCTGGAATTAGGCAAGCTTCAGCTGTGCAGGCTCTTGTTTCGGGGCTGGGCGCACAGCCACACAGATGGGGTGTCTGGCCACGGCCCCAGGCACGTGGGGTGGAGCAGGGGATGGGGTAGAAGTGGGGTGGGGGCTCTGCTTGCTGGGCCTGAGCTTCCACCACAGCTCGCAGGACAGACTCGGGCTGTCCTCAGCTCCCGCTGTGGGCTGTCCTCTTGGGTGCGGGCTGGTAGTGAATCCTCCAAGGCCGGCAGCGGTCGATGGCCCGTTGGTCTGGACTGTGTGAGTCCCTAGTCCGGGGGCTCTGAAGCTGGGAAATCGAGTAGCTCCGTAAATCAGTGACCGGGAACTCCTTTGTTTTGGGGAGTTTGCTGCGATTATGGAGCCAAAACCCGCCCCGTCCCCACCCTGCTGGCCCCATTCTGATTTTCTTGGCATGTCTCAGGGGAATGCCACAATCCCATTTTGATAAGTATAACCAAAGCATTTCTCTGGTGCCACCCGGCCCTCTTTTTAAGGCTGAGATCCCCAGCATGCTTTTATTTCTGTTTAAAGTGCACAGGAAGCATTTTGACATAGGAATTCCTGTTTGGCTCAGAACACGGATGCCAGCAAGTATGACTTTGGTGGGGAGGTGAGGGGCAAATGCAAGGTAAGCAAGACATCTTAGTTGGCTTATTTGCCTCTTTTTTCTTTTTTTAAACACAGGAGAAAACTGCGTAAACCCTGGGGTTTAGTTGTCCTGTGGCCACACTGGGGAGAAAGGAGGAGGATTTCACCCCATTTTGAACGCTGTGTTCTTGTCGATTTTGTTTTGGAAAGATGCTACCTCTTTCATTCCAATCCTTTTAAGGGCTGCTCTTGAACCAGGCCTGGCCATGACTAACCCTGGTGTGGACAGGGCAGGCTTGGCCGCAATCACACAGTGAAGTGAGTCAGTCCGGCGGCCCGGTTCTGGCGTGTGGGGCTTCTGTGCCTCAGCCAGGCTGCTGTTCAGTTCGCTGTTGGGATTGGGGTGATGACTCCCCAGATGCCGAGGCTGCCTGTCTTATGCCGGGGGCAAGGGGAGAAACGTGCACCAGCCTCCAAAAACCTGTGTTCTGGTGCTCACTCAGCCAGGTTGTACCAGACAGGGCCCCGGGATCTCCCCCGGAGGTTTTGCTTGGACCCTTGATGCTGATGTTAGAGCTTAGTTGAACATGACTCTCAGCAACCCCCTTTGACATTTTGGTGCTCTCCTGTTTTCTTGAACACACAGTAGTCATTCCAAAATATCATGGACCTGTCATCTTCTCACCCGGCTGAACCTAAATAAATACAGCTCTCACAGGCCTGACCAGCAAAGAGGCACCTAACTGGGCAGCAGCAGCTTTCAGGTGGATGGGGCTTTGTGAATGGTGTATTTGATCTCTTGGTTGTTCTCAGATTTAAGGTGCGGCTGGTGGGTGTTCTCTCCTAAGACTGTGTTTGGGTGAAACCAGGCAGCTGTTAGCTCCCATGACTTGGAAGGGTGTCAGGCCACAGTGTCAATGTGGGAGGAGCTAAGAGATGGGATACTGGCCTTGCAGTCATGTCTGGGTTTATTGTGAGCCTTGAGTGGTCTCCCCAAGCTCTGTACCTCAGTTTCCTTGTCTGGAAATTGAGCATAAAAAATGTAATTCATGTGGTGCTTTTTTTTGTTTTTTTGTGGTTTTTTTTTTTTAAGATTTTTATTTATTTATTCATGAGAGACAGAGAGAGAGAGAGAGGCAGAGGGAGAAGCAGATGCGGGACTCGATCCCAGGACTCTGGGATCATGACCTGAGCTGAAGGCAGACGCTTAACCATCTGAGCCACCCAGGCACCCTTTTTTTTGTTTTTTTAATGAATATATGTTAGGATTCTTGTGGTCATGAGTTAGAAAATCTACTCAGACTGGCTTTAGAGGGGTGATTATTGTTCACATCGCTGAAAGGCTTGGGCAGGGACGGCCCCGGGTGTAGATGACCATCGGCAGCGCCAGGCTCGCATCCTGCCAACTTACCACCGAGTGGAGAAGGAGCTGCTCCTTCCCATCAGCTGCAGCTCTAGTCTGGGGGCCGATGCTCCGTGACACTGATGGGCCTGGCTCGCCCACTGCTGTAAGAGGGGTGTTCTGTGCCGACTGGCCAGGCCTGGGTCACTTGTTGATCCTATGATGATGATTCCCTCAGTAAAAAGAACAGGGTGTGTTCATCAGAAGAAGGGGGCATGGATTCTGAGCCAGCGGAAGCAGCAGATGCTCCCTGAGAAAGCTGCACTCTTTCTGTATGTCCCTCATCCCCCCTCAGGGCTGTGTGCTCCCTTGCTCTTTGGAGGTGGCTATGTTGCTCTTCTCCCCTCCAGATTATTTTTTCTCTAGCGGGCTTCTTGCCCTGTCCCTGGATCTAGAGGCTTGTCGACATCCTGCTTATAACAAACAGGCACAGGTGACTGTTGAGTGAAGAGATGCTGGCACCGACTCCCCCCTGCAAACCCCACCATCCCCATGCTAGTGGGGAAATCTTGCCTCAACCAGGTGGCAGAAAACACAGGCATAAAAAGGCATGTGGCCACAAGTCACAATTTTGCCATGACCTGATTTAAATGTGGCATTAACATGTTCTTTTTCTACAAATGCAACCAGAATTCACACCTCCTCCACATTTAAGCCCAGACAAGGAAGTAGTGTGAAATGAATGTGTACCTCTGGACCCTCCACTCAACTTCAGGTCCCAACTGATGAGTGACTCATTCTGAAACCGAGAAAATCACAGGGCCCCTAAATTTGCAGAAATTGCACACTAAAAGGAAAAAGAGGGGTACCCTAGTGCCCGAGGCCAAGGAAGCGTTCACTCGACACATGTCACTCTGAAAGGACAGTTGTCTCTTTTTGGAGTCACTCGGAGCAGTAACTTAATAAACAGACCTAGACAAAAGAATGAATTGTTTGCACTTCTCATTTGAAAAATAGGGTTTAGTTTTTGGTTTTTGCCTATGGAAAAAGTAGGCACCGATTTCATGTCCTCTGATTGAAAACCTGCTCTTTGCTTGAATCCATCCCTTCAAGGGCATGGAGTGAAGAGGACAACACTGACTTTGAGCCTGCCAGGTCAGCTGGGAGTTGAGGGGTGCCCAGAAGTTGGGAACCCCAGCTTTGCCTTTTTTTTTTTTTAAGTCTCCATTGAAATGAAATGGAACCCTGGCATCATTTCTGGCTCTTCTTGCAAAGCCAGAGCCAACCCCACGGCTGGCAGAGTTTCCTGATTGGGATGAGCTGTGGATTAGCCATTGGGAGGTTGGGGTCTGAATCCTAGCCCCTGGAGGGGCTGCTCCTGAGCAGCTCTGTGACCCTGGGCTAGTCATGGCTTCTCCACCGATGGGGGGGGCTTCACGATGCCCAGCCCTCCGGTTGTCAGAAATGAGACCATTACTGTCTCAGCACTCAACCATGTGACCCACGAGCACTGAAAAGGCAGCCTGGCGAAGGCAGAGAGCAGAGTGAGGAGCTTGGAAGGGGCGTGTGTGCTTGGGCACCCCTCCCCCTACCCCCTGTTGTGAGTTTCTGTGAAGCCTGGTTCTCTGTTCATTTGTATAACGAATTAGTGAGGTGGGTGAGTGGGTGAGCATGTGTGTGTGGTGGGGGGACAGCAGGAAGGGAGGAGAAGGGTTAGGAGGCTGGCCCACCGTTGTAGAGACGCGGGAGTGCCACCTTTTCAAATGGGCTTAACTAGTATAAGGAACTTCCCAGAAAAAAACATTCTAAATTCAATCTCGTGCTGTTCGGTCAAGAAAAACAGCAAAACAAAGAAAGAGGTTCCCCCAAATCCTCAGCTCATACACACCCTGTTGTTGCCAGGTGCTCTTTGCCTCTTGAAATTCTGCTCCAGAGCCAGCCAATAGCATGCAATCCTTCCCTTATTTCCTAGGTAACCAGCAAGGGCATCTTTCTCCTCTTTCCCTGAACGTTCTCGTTAGGGCCTTCTTATTCTCCCCTTCCCCCTTTTTATTGTCTGTCCTCATTTTGATTCCTGGAATGTAGAATACCGAGGGCAACTCAGAAAATCCTTGAATTTGTGAAGTCAAAGACTGTTGGGAGGTCATGCCTGCCATTTCCCTGAAAAGCACTTCATTTACCAAATATTAATCAGATTAGAATGTACATCATCCTGGGCAAGTTGATGGATTATTACTGTTATTTAAAAAAATCAGTGTGTCAGAGCATCGGGGAAGCTCCCAGATCTGGCCAGAGTTGTCATTTGGAGGGGGAGAGGTTGACGTCCCTGGGTGCCGGGGATCTGTCTTCCGGCCTC